CAGCCTTGAAGTAACAAATGCATGGACTAGTTTCTCAGCATCACCCCTGGACAGGAAATTTCTAATTTTTTTGCAATATTCCACAGATGAAAGAAGGAAATTCTAGAAACCTCTTTGATATGGGATTTAAATGACAGGTTTTGATCAAAAATAACTTTATTATCTGAGATCATTTTAATCCCATCCAAATGAGGTTACTGACTAATCAGCTTCTTTTTCAAAGACTCTGTTCCAAAGACTATAACTTCTGTTTTGGCTGCATTCAGGGGCAGATAGTTTGAAGTCATTCAGGTTTTTTTTTTTTTTCATTTTATCAGGATTTATACGCAGATATAGCTGAGTATCATCAGCATAACAGTGGAAATTAATCCCATGCTGTCTAATAATTCTAGAGATTGGGAGCATAGATATTGTAAAGAGAATTGGTGCTAGCACTGATCCCTGTGGTACTGCACAGGTCACCCTTGAGCATGAGGAAGACTGAAATCTATCAGATAAAAAAGATTTAAACCATGGATATCTGATTTCTTGCTGGGAAATAATTTTTAGATGTTTGGACGTTCACTCTCTGGAAATTGTGGCTCACTGCACAGTTTCATATACCATCAATAAGACCAAACTACCAATAAAAAGGGTAGAGGGAGGGGCTGCAGTAAGCTAAAGGGAGCAATCAAAAGATCATCACCTGGGAGTTTTTCCATTTTTCCAACATTTTGCACACGTGTGAGTTTAAACAATATGTTAAGTAACTGTTCATTCTTTAACTTTACATAAATAGAAAATATAAGACCTGCTGGGAAATTAAATCAATTTCTCCCTGAAGGTCATCAGCGGAAGGAAGCATGAAGAGCTCAGAAATGTCCTGACTGTGGGCTTTAGAAAACCCAGTGGACCAGACGGTCACTGACTGTGGAAACTTTGCTCTGAAAGTGTAGGGAGATTCTGTTTTTTTTTATGCTCCTTCCAAGGATGCTGTATAAAGCCTCGAACTCAACACTATTTCTGACATTTTGAAATAAAAAAGCTTCCTGGATGGGAAGCAAAATATCTTCCAACTTGGAAACTAAGTCCAGTGGATTGTTGTTTAACTTTTTTTGGAACGACTGATCTGGACGACTGAGAATCTTCACCAGCATTTTATCAAAACAGCTTTGGAATATTTCACCCATCATGAATTTAGATCAGTTTCACTTTCTGAAATGAGGGAAAAAACTTAGTTAACTTTTTCATAATATTCTGTCTTTTGTTTTTGCAAGAAGAAACATAAACCAGGAGCAAAGACAGAGGAGGGAGGACAGTTTGTCAACTTGTCCTTAAAGCGTAACTGAGAATAAATAGGAATAAATTAAAATAACCAAGCTCCTAGAGCTTTCTGTGTGCAAAAGAAAGATGTACTCATTTTAAATGTCAAACATGAAAAGAGAAACTGAGAGTTTTTACTGTTTATGGCTGCAGCTCTGAGGCAGACTGGTGGAACGTAAAGACAACAGCAGGGGGCGCTGATACACCCAGCGGAGCGCATTTAGCCGCAAAGAAGAAAGCATTTTTTTTTTTTTTTTTGTAATTGTTCTTCCGCGTTTTTAAATGTTTTCATACTGGAAGCCTTGGAGGAGGAGATTTATTTCAGTTTTCTATTATCTTCTAGGAATTGCTTTGGTTTTAATCGTCTGTGTAGTGCTTTCTGCGTTGCAGAAGTTAGACGGTGACAGAACCGAGGACATGCCAGGTATTAATCGGTCTCCAGAGAGCAAAGTGACGGATTATTGAGTTAATCTGACAGGGATTCTCTCCGCAGGGACCGACGGGACGCTGAGGTACTTCAGGGAACTGGGGCTGCTGACAGGAAGTGACGCGGCACAGCTCCAGTGGTGGCACGGGGTCAACAGCCGGAGGGCGCTCGCGCAGGCTCTAAGCGGTAGCTACGTCACTAAGTAACAAGTATAAATACCAGCAAATATTCCACACCATGACTGAATGAGCATTTATTGCTAAATTTTACGGGTTAGCTTGATTTGGTTAGTAGCATCAGTACCGCCGATGGTTTAACAGGATTTATATATATACAAAAATAAAATAAACAGTTAAATTATGATAAATTTCTTTGCTTCTCGGATTTTGTCTAATTTCTTCCACTTCCTGCAAGTAACAGAAATCTTTTTAAGTATATCAACAAAGACTGATACTTTGTAAAGATCTGTAACTACCATGTTAAAAAGACAAGTGCATTTATTCTCACTGAATACTGACACCTGCTGGACATTTAAAGACACTACAGGCAGCTTATTGGACAGACTAAACTGAATTCATTTGATGACCTAGAACAATGATATCATTTAAGTCAGGGGTCTGCAACCTTTCATATTCAAAGAGCCGTTTTGACCAGAGTTCGACCACGTAAAAGTTGTGTAGAGCCGCAAAATATAACATGACTTTTACTAGAAAACCTTTTTTTCTTTTAATCTTATATAGGAAATTAGTTGTTGCCATCTCAAACAATCAAAAATTCATTTATTT